ATAAGAGAGACTGATACGTTGCTTATGCCGAAATAGTGAAAATCCAAACTCTACATATAAATAAGTAGAAAAACGTTCCTCGCCATTCACTAAAACTGTCTGACAACATTGACCAAGTATTTTTCTTATTACCATTGTTCTATAGGAACCTAAAATATCTAAATCAGCAGACTTAAGATAGCGTCAGACATAGTTTTGCTACAAATGTAAAATTTATCCGAACTTGTTTTTAGTTTTTTTCCCTTCTAATGCTTTATATGTATATTTTTTCTAATTGAATCTCTGAAATTATGTCCATAAAGGGTTCATGTTGTTATGTCAAATTTTATCAATTAACGAAAGCTCTCAGATGTAGAGCATTGTTAGTCGAATTAATAAAATTCATCTTATAATTCACCCTTTATATAAGTATTCGATAACAGATCCGATATAGTTCTTCATCAGTTAATAGGACAAAATTACAGTCTCTCAAGTTTGTCATGATATATATAATATTGACAGTATTTCATTTTCTCAATTTTTTAGAGGATGATGATGATACTGTGACGAGAGGTTAGCACTAGCACTGTAAGTATTGGACAAAACAACAAATACTCCAAGTGTGAAACCTCAAGTGACCACATATGGGATAACACTTTCAGAGACGTTGTAAGCGATGAGTATTGAACAAACATTCCGCTTACGAAGCATTTTCTGTTTACCTTTTTAACAATTTCCGATATAGTTCCAAATAACTATAAAGGTTATAGAAATAGTAAATATTTTTTGGAAATCCGAAAATTCTTTTTGAGAATTAGCCCTAAGAAATAATGATAATTAATTTTGAACCCCCAAAGTGAAAACACATTTATTAATAAATTAAAAAAACTCTGCCTCGAGTTGGGATTCGAAGCCACCTATTCATGGGTTACGCACACTGCCTTTACACCAATGAAGATAATATTCGAATCTAACTTAATGACTGAGACATTTCAATGTTTCAATAAACTACTGACACCATCGTCTGGGTAAACATGACAATGTATGCAGAATGAAGATGCTCCCCTTATGTCGTCTGTGTGTATTAAGTCTATAAATTCAGTACAACGTAGGCACATTTCAATGAAAAATTAGTTTTAAAGTTCCGAAAATTATACAGGGTGATTCAGAAGAAGTAAAGCACGAGAAAGAGAGCGGTGGAAAAAAGACAGCCGGGGGAAAAATATTAATCAATTATCTCGACGTGATCAAAAAGCTAAAAGATTATTATGGACTGAAAGCACATGAAAATACAGAAATGAGCAAAAGTTAAAAGAACATCAATTTTTAAACAAATCTACTCCACCAAGTTCTACAATTTCTGAAAATCAGCTAAGCACAAGCAGGAATATTGCAGGTTCAAACGAGTAAGAAGAGATAGAGCAAGGACTTATATTAACGTCGGCGATTTCGTTTTGGTTCGTTTTTTGGGAAAAAACTGTCAAATACTGTATTTGTCTTACATTAAAAACCATTCATTTGTTTGGAGAAGAAAATTGTTTAGATAAAAATTACTTACAATATTATTATCTATAATTTTTGTTCTATACAATTTTTTTTAAAATGGTCCGTATTCAAGAAATTTGACAAAATGTAATAAAATTCAAATTTTTAGGAAAATTGTTTAAATAAAAGTTATTTGTGATATCGATCTCTATAATTTTTGTTTCTATATAATTTTTCTAAAATGGACCATATTGGAAAAATTGAAGGAAAAGTGCTAAATTTATTTTCGTTTTCAATGAATATCTATAGAAAAATGTTTCGAGTTAGATGTATGTGGATAATGTATATATTTAGTGTATCCTCTAAACATTTATAGAGGTGCTGCAATAGGTTGTACAAAATAACCGGAAAAAGCCTATAATAACTAGATAGGAAAGTCATGTGTTGGACACATCAGATTTTTATCTGAACAATTTTCTTCTCCAAACATCAATAACAGATATATTTCATAAAATATAAAAACGGCCTCCCATAAAGTAACCCCCCTCCAAATGTTCCGCCTTTGTCCAAAATCTAATCATTTCACCTCAGGCCGAAATAAAAATTTAACATTTTTTCCTTTACCCGTTTTTGAGTTTTCTTCAAAATTCGAAATTTACACATTTTCTCAAATATCTTGAATTATGTATATGTATTTTAGAGAAATTATGTATAAGATAAAAATTATAGAGAATTATATTACAAACAACTTTTATTTGAATAATTTTCATAAAAAAATAATTTTTCTACATTTTGTAAAATTTTTCGAATACGGACCATTTTAGGAAAATTTTGTATAAAACAAAAATTATATATAATAATATTAGAAGTAACTTTTATTTGAACAATTTTCTTCTTCAAACGTAAAAAACGGATATATTTCATAAAATATAAAAATGACCACCAATAAAGTACCCCCCCAAATGTTCCGACTCTGCCCAAAATATAATCAGTTCACCGCAGGCTGGAATAAAGCTTAAGTTTGAAATTTGGTGTTTTTCTTTGTATCGGTTCATGAGTTATGGTGGAGACACACACACACACACACACACACACACACACACACACACACACACACACACACACACACACACACACACACACACACACACACACACACACACACACACACACACACACACACACACACACACACACACACACACACACACACACACACACACACACACACACACACACACACACACACACACACACACACACACACACACACACACACACACACACACACACACACACACACACACACACACACACACACACACACACACACACACACACACACACACACACACACACACACACACACACACACACACACACACACACACACACACACACACACACACACACACACACACACACACACACACACACACACACACACACACACACACACACACACACACACACACACACACACACACACACACACACACACACACACACACACACACACACACACACACACACACACACACACACACACACACACACACACACACACACACACACACACACACACACACACACACACACACACACACACACACACACACACACACACACACACACACACACACACACACACACACACACACACACACACACACACACACACACACACACACACACACACACACACACACACACACACACACACACACACACACACACACACACACACACACACACACACACACACACACACACACACACACACACACACACACACACACACACACACACACACACACACACACACACACACACACACACACACACACACACACACACACACACACACACACACACACACACACACACACACACACACACACACACACACACACACACACACACACACACACACACACACACACACACACACACACACACACACACACACACACACACACACACACACACACAAATCATGATTCCTATACTTTCCTTATCTGTATACTTGTGAAAGGTAGAGGGAATTATAGAATCTATAATGTCCCAAGGGAGTTATGACCCTCTTTATTGATAGCGTAACTATGACAATATAAGCTTATAATATCCGTCAGAAATAAAATGTTTAATTGTCAAAAAAAGTAGTGCCGTATCATAATTTTACCTATAAGTATCAAGTAGGTAGCCCCCTGAGACTCCACTGGAAATAAATTTATTTTATTTTCACCAAAAGAAGGTCCTTATAATGACAAATAAACGTACCAAATTTTATTTAAATCGGCTAAAAAGTTTTTGAGTAGGTATTTGATAAAAGAACCGATTTTTTTTAAAAAATTGGCACTCTGTATCTAAAAAACGAAACAAGTTAGGACACACAATTATATGATTTTTTTTTATTTTTGTCATGTTTCCCTAAACGATAATGCTGTTGGTAGTTTGTTAAGCAATTGAAAATCCTTTGTCACCGAGTTAGATTCGAATCTTATATTATTCAATTTTACATTATGTAATCCAGACATCTAATGTTCTTTGTAAAGGCAGAGTGCTTGAAACATTAATAGATAGCTTCAAGGACAACCCTGTTTTTTCAGGGATACGAGACAAAACTAACAAGATACATAACTATAAACTAAAAAGATCCAAATCAAACAAAATTACCCTATTATATCGCAGATAAGGAAACGGTACATTAAAATATCAGATATAAACATCTTGCATATCATGATTGGGGTACGAGACGACGCCCATAACCCTCCACAACACAATGTGTACATGTAGATGTGAAATATTACTTCTTTTAACATTGTAAATAACTATTTTTAACTTAACTTAAAGGTAGCTTCGAATCACAGACCGGCACAGACTTTTTTCATTAAATATAATTTCATTGTGGAGGTTCAAAAATATTTTTCATTATTTTGTATGTATACACGGATAATCTAAAAAAAATATTTGCGGATTTAAAATGAATTTTATGTTCCGAATAGTTCATACAAGATCTACTTGGAGGTAGCTACTCTGACAGTATTTGCAGATGTGAAAGATTTGACTGCCCAAATATATATTTGGATATTTGAAGAGCTCTCTATGTTTAGAATTCGAACATTTTGTAAGAAAACTACCGTCTGACACTAATGTTAGATTTATCTGTTGATTTTAACATTACCGTTTTCGGTTGATTCAAAGACAAAGGGTAAAAATCTACAAAATAAAGCGTGTGGTAGCACGAGATCTATTTTAGCTACCTTATTATTACCTGAATGCGTTGGTAGGTATCAGTCATCATAGCAATGAGCAGATTAATCAGGACAACGACAGACACCAACATGTAAACTCCAAAAACGAATTTAAAAAGAACCTCCGTCCAAGGGGGTTGATTATTAGAGCGATTAATGCTGTTAGGCCCGTAGCTTTTCAGTTGTTCGGTAGAAGTTTGGCCGAACACCGCGAAAAACAGCAACTCAAATGCGCTGATAGGGCTCTTTTGGACTGGAATCACAAAACAAAAAGCGAATTACCTGTATGCGCTGGTATGTGTCCGACATCATGGCAATGAGAAGGTTTATGAGCACAACCACCGATACCAACATGTAGACGCCGAATACCACTTTGAAGAGGTTGTCCGTCCATAACGGCCTAAATTGAGGCTGTTTTGGGTCTCTGTGCTTCACCGTTAGCTCGTCGTAGGTCGTTTGGCCGAAGACGGCGAAAAATAACAGCTCGAAGGCCAAAATGGGGCTCATTATCACTATGAAAATTAGGATAGTAAATGTTAACCCCTAGTTGGCATTTTTAGGCATGCCACAGATTTAGACGGTACACTAGTTGCGAAAAACATGCCAAATAAGTCAGCTATTATGTACAGCGGATAAAAGAAGAAAGAAAATATTTAATAGCTTAAAAAAGTAAATATGGAAGTTTGAGGATGAGGCGCAATTAGTCGGTCCAACTACGAATTACATACCTGTAACAGTTTTAATTTGTTAATATTATTTACAGGGTACCCAGATTTCGACAGATTGTCCTTTTTCTTTGAAACGAATTCATACAATATTTTGTTTGTATCTAGCAGACAGTAGGTACAATTTTCTATATTATGAAGAATACGGTAGACTTTTAACCAAATATGAGTTAAAGGTATGATTTATACAGTGTGTCTGAAAAAGTTGGCAACAAATGGGAAACTTTTTTATTATTAAGTTTAGGGAAAAACGTCATTCTTCATAAAGAGTTCTGTAAGGCCTAAAACCCAATATACGATAATCAGATATCGAAATTTTCCAATCGTATACGAGGTTTGTCAAAAAGTATGAATTTTGCTCAAGAGTAAAGTACCTTTATTTTCGACAATATCTAAAATTGTTATTAAGAAAAGTTGATTAGAATTGAAAACTACGTTTAAATGTCTAATTACAGCTATCTACGATAAAAACCAGGTTTTATTATTGTTTACAATTTCTTTAAGATCGAAAATGATCAAAAACTAGGTATCTAAATTATTGACCTGTACAAAATCAAGTTGCTGTGGAAATGTTTTGAAACATATCTTATGTCAGTATGCTTCAAAACCTCAGATATCGATAGAAATTAAAAATTATGTTCATGTGCACTTACTGATTACACCACTCATTTTCTCATTGCAAATTTTGCTATAAATATTGACTTTGTTTTGCACGAGTTATCAATAATACAATGTAAACAAATGCATACATAATTAAAATCATTTATTTTCAAAACACAACATCAAACATTACATGCATGAAAAAGAAGAATCCGGATTAACTTTTCCCTCACTGCACGTACGCCTCAACATATCCACCGTCCCTTTCTAAGCAGGTAATTGTTCTTCGAGAGAATTCTTTTATTGCATTTCTAATAACATCTGGAGTAACACCGTCACATGTTTCCCTAATTATTCTTTCCAAATGATCAATATTTTCAAACGGTCTTTTAAGGTATACCTTTTGCTTCAAGTATCCCCATAAAAAGAAGTCTAGGGGGGTCAGGTCCGGAGATCTTGGAGGCCAAGCAAAGTCCACAAATCTTCCAATTACTCTTCCGTTAAAAATTTGTAGAAGACATTCTCGAACATTTCTTGTACTATGGCAGGTTGCTCCATCATGTTGGTACCATGTACGTTGCCTTTCCATTATTGGTAGGTTATGAAGAAATTCAAGAATCTCATTATTTAAAAATTCCAGATAACGTTCAGCATTCATATTAGTTCGAAAAAAAAATGGTCCAATTATTCTATCTTTAAAAATTCCACACCATACATTTGTTTTAAAACAGTATTGGTCACGAGTTTGGACAGTGAAATTAGGATTAACATCACTCCACCAACGGCAATTTTGTGAGCTGACTACCCCATTAGAAGTGAACGTTGCCTCGTCCGAAAAATTATGCACCGTGCCATATAATTATTATCTTCTAACTCCCCTTGGAACCAAGCACAAAATTCAAATCTTCTATTAAAATCTCCTGCTTTTAGGGTATGAGTGAACTGGGGTTTGTAAGGTTTAAATTTGTTTGCTTTTAATATTCCTGCAACTACGTCTTTGCGCAAAGCTGGCCTTTTTCTTATGGAATCTTTAGGATTTTCTATTGCTGAGAGCATTACTTGATTTTGAATTTCTTCAGTAGCAACCCATGCCTCATGTTTCTTTTTGAATTTATTCTCAACATTTCCGGAACACTTGAACTTTTTTATTATTTTACTTACTGTTGCAAAATGTTCATTTTTATCAGGATGTCTGTTATTAAAGATTATGGCAGCTTCCCTATAAGTTTTGTAGTTATCTCCAACAATTAAAACAATTTCAATTTTCTCTTCAAGACTTAATTTCAACGGCATTTTTACTAGTATTTAAAAAAGTACAATTATTACAAACTGAGGTTTTGAAGCATACTGACATAAGATATGTTTCAAAACATTTCCACAGCAACTTGATTTTGTACAGGTCAATAATTTAGATACCTAGTTATTGATCATTTTCGATCTTAAAGAAATTGTAAACAATAATAAAACCTGGTTTTTATCGTAGATAGCTGTAATTAAACATTTAAACGTAGTTTTCAATTCTAATCAACTTTTCTTAATAACAATTTTAGATATTGTCGAAAATAAAAGGTACTTTACTCTTGAGCAAAATTCATACTTTTTGACAAACCTCGTATACGATTGGAAAATTTCGATATCTGATTATCGTATATTGGGTTTTAGGCCTTGCAGAACTTTTTATGAAGAATGACGTTTTTTCCTAAACTTAATAATAAAAAAGTTTCCCATTTGTTGCCAACTTTTTCAGACACACTGTATAAGGATGTAGTAATCATAAAATATAGACACTCAGGAAAAAAATATTTATACTGATGATTAACATTTGGTTATTACCAGAAAGAATTGTACGGAAATTTGGCAACACATACAAATAATAGTAATTAACTATGAGTGTCAAAAAAAAATAAAAATATAGTTACAAAAGGCAATGAACAGATCATTTGTATAATTAATTTTGTACTGAGAAAATATTTATGGGACTAATTGGTCTGTAGTAAAAAAAATATCATTCACTGTTAATGTTAAAAGTGTTTAAGTTGGAATAGAAAGGATTCCTGTCAAGGAAGAAAAGTTGGTTTTGGAAGCCTCCAAAAGAATTGCTATTGAATATCAAGAAAACACAAAGAAGATATAAATTCGGTCACAATAATAGTCCAGGGCAAGGTTAAAAAAGTTTATTTTTATCCTGAAGCAACCTTACAGTGTAACGTCGCGCTGATAGGATTACCATTATTTGTATACTAAAATTTTTTGTATCATGATTTGTATATACAGGGTGTCCCAGCTTTTATTTGACAGGTTGTAAGTCTTATTATAATTATCAGAATTAAATAAAATTTAAATGGTTGCTACAATGACATGTTTACTATCTGATAAGCGTATTTTCGATTACCAAGAACTTCGGGTCGTATCGTAAATGACCATGAATTTTATTATTTTAAATAGGACATCCTATATATTTCAACAATTCTGAATTCTCTAATCAGTTCTACACATTTTTCATGTAATATGTCCTATCTCTAACCGTTTCTGATAATTGATAATTTGAAGGTTTCTTTTATGTATGTTTCTTGTCTAAAAATGAAAATAGTACAATTTAATAAATTTTACGGATATTTTATAACAAAAAATCTAACATTATAAATGAATTGAATATTTGAAATGCCTTTTTTCTGTCTCAAGAAAAGTCTGAAACGTTTTCGGTAGATTCCTCGTATGTTTTGTGTTATCTATCTAGATATATCTAGACGGCTTTGTTTTGTCACACTTTCGATATCATTTGTATCGCTGTTAAATAATGGGTTACTTTTTTATTTAGCGGTAACGACTCAAAATATAATGCCTTTTACTTTCACATCGATATGTTACTTTTCTGCGGCGTGTGTCAAAAATGGGCGTCATGCAAGAAGAGTGTATCAACAATGGTTTTCCGCATATAAAAACTAAAGGACAAAGTTTGAATAATAAGCGGGAATTAGGCATTCCAAACTGAATGACTACCAGCGGGTTTTGACAGGTTATGGTGTGGCAAAGTTATGGCAACTCTGTTGGCCTGGTGATTTGACAAGGTGAGTGAAATAGATAGTTACATAGATTGAACATCCCTATTTTTTAAAATAAACATAAGCTTATGCCTTGAAGTAAAAATATAAGCAATTATTATTTTTTAATATCTAAAGTCTGAAAATTGGCTTTAAAACACATTTTTGCTAAACTTATTCAAATTAATAAATATTTGTCAGGCAATATGGCTGCTCGCAAACGACCAGCTTTGAGCAATGTATATAACATATATGTATCATTGACCCTGTTAATGACAACATGTAGTTGTGTGTTGTTGTTTATAGTTTATCACTCCGAGCAATTACTACTAGAGGGAGTCTTCCCCCCTTCCCCGCGCTAAATTTTGTTAGCAACATCTACTCCCCCCCGAGGGGGAAAATACCTCTTCTGTAATTGGCTTATTTAATCAGCGTTGCCAAGTTTGACAGCGCCAGAAGTTTTCTGTGAGCGCCAGTTCTGACACTTTCTGACACATGTCAATTTCTTATTTGTATTTTACGGAAAATATTATTATTTATAACGTTGTAAAGGTTGTAAATGTATATTTAAGATTTATTATCTCTAATAATATGGTGAAAACATGCTTTATGTGTAAAAAGCCTGTTGAAAATGCTTCTTCAAGATAATATCATAAGTAAGTACAGACACAAACTAATTATCAGAGGCGGTGCATTAGGCAATCACCTTTAATTTGCAATTAAACTTCTTTATTTTCTTATCGAAAAATTAAAATTAAGAGCAAGTACACTCCAGCTACGTTCGTCTTCATCCGTCTCATAATGATTATAGTAAAGGTTAATTACTTATTATTATTTTAATATCACATCTTTGTAAAGTTTATTGTTATTTTTTTTAGGTTTCCTTTTCTTGATATGAGAAAGAAATACATGGTTCCAAAATATAGGAATTCAACAAGTGACCACCTGAAACTTTTTATGCTTTAAGTTTCTTTCAAAAAGAATGTTTAAGGAAAAAGGCATAGCTTTTTTTTGTTGACACTTTTTTTTAATTAATCTAAAAGACTAATTTTGTGTATTGTTTAAATGTTCATTTTTTGTACTTAATTTGTTTTAGGTTTAAACTAAATGAACTTCTGAGATATGCATGGAATATCCCAAAAGAGC